TTCTGTTCTGTAATATAATTTAGTTTACCTTTAATTTTCTCTGGTTTACTACTCCCTCTCTCTATCTCTTTCTCTCTCTCTCTCTCTCTCTCTCTTTATTAACCCTTTGTGAACCGGAGAAGAAATTGCCTTGGTTTGTGTCTTTGCTAATTAAATTTAAATTTATTTTGACGGACATGGGAAAATATACCTAAACAGTTTTTCCAGAGAACGTAGACATTCTACAAATCTTTCATATATATGGACTACTTTTAAAATTCTTATTCTTCCATAAATATTTAATTCTAAACATGTTCAGATTGATTACACTTCAGGTAACTCGCACACATAAATAGAATCAAACAACTTATACAATATTTACTTCATACATGTATGAACACCTCACTCTCTTCCTCAAGAAAGCAGAAACAAAAAATAATTCCATTTCCATGAAATTGTTTTAAATCACTTATTTTGTGCCAATTAACCTTCTAAGTAGGTAATTTATGTCTGCATAATTCCCATTTCTTAAAAATTTCTCAAAGAAAGGTGGAGAGCGGGTGTGTGTGTTTGTTTGCACGACCTGTTGCTGACATCTGCAAAATGACAGCAACACGGAAAATGAAACTGGGATACATAGACAATATTTATACATTTTATATAAATATGTAGTTATATATATATATTCATAAATATTACATTGGAACTGATTTAGAACAAGATATAATTGATGTATGCCGGTTTGTGTATATACAACAAAATAACTGAGGAACGTTGAAAGCTGCCAAAGAAGGGCGACATTTTATGCTCCCATTCTATCTTTTCTTTGCAGACACTCTTTTCCTTTGAAAAGAAAATAGAGGCTAAATAAAGGTTAATGTGGCATTTCTATTCAAGTTCGTGCAATGGCATAGCTAAACGAACAAAATAAGCCAAAGTAATATACAGGAAATCAGTTAGCACCAGAGGAGGTTTGATAATAGAGTACATAGAAAATAAAAATCGTTAATTTGTAGAAAAATTGAATGTTTTAATGGGCCAACTTCGACGTATTCGATTTCCTATGGCAACCTCTGTTTTTATGGACGGCCTTAAAAATACTCTATGTTTTAAACCAGTAAAGAAAGTCCTAAAGTCGGGCGGGGCCGACTTTATGATACCCTACACCACTTTGCTTATTTAGTAGAGTTCCACATAACAATTAAAAGTTTTTATGGGAGAATTCAATTATACACGCCATGATTATAATTATAATTTAAAGTTCAAGGGACTAAATGTGCCGAAGCATTTGTATCTTTTAAATTCGGTCTTGTATTGCCCATTCGGTGCAAAATTAATTTGAAATCATATAAAGATATATATGGAAGCTATATCCAAATATCCGATCTCAATGAAATTTGGCATAGGTATTTCTGAGCTGTATTTTATATATTTCCCTGAATATCGTTGTTACGGGGTGCATACTACGGCTGTGGGTAACAAATACAACAAGTCGGATGAACAATATATGTGAGAGCTATAGCTATATCTGAACCGATCTTCAAAGTTGGCATACTAGCTTCTAGACTCGTATGTGCCAAATTCCATCCTATTTGGGCAAATGTTAAGCATTTGGTGCACAATAAAAGGTAAATCGGACGAAGTTATATATGGGAGCTATATCCAAATCTGAGCCGATCTCAATAAAATTTAGCATATGTATTTCTGAGCTGCATTTGATATATTTCCCTGAATATTTTTGTTACACAGAGCATATTACGGCTGCGCAGGACAAAAATAACAAATCGGATGAACAATATATATGGGAGCTATAGCTATATTTGAACCGATTTCGATCAAATTTGGCATACTTATTTTCAGGACTAATTTGTTTGTATGTGCAAAATTCCATACTATTCGGTCTGATATTACACGTTTGGTGCACAATAAAAGGCAAATCGGACGAACATATATATGGGAGCTATATCTAAATGTTTACGGATTATCTCCAAGCTCAATAGGGTTCGTCCTTGGACCAAACAAATGATTTGTGCAAAATTTCATCTTAATCGGATAATAAATGCGACCTCCATTTTGTTCACAAGAATACATGGACAGACGGACGGACGGACTGACATGCATAAATCAACTCAGAAAGTGATTCTATGGAGATCCTCAAAAGCAACTATGGGTATGGGATATCGCTTCCTTCTCCATGTTACAAACAAATGCACAAAGACATAATACCCAGACCACCTTGTGGTGAAGGTTTTAAAAACTTTGTAGGTCATCCATGTTTCTACAGAAAACTTTGAATGTCTTCCTTGGAGACCTTAACAAAAGTAGTCGGTATACGAACTTCAAAGATTTTTAAGGTCTGTTAAAGAAATGCCCTAAAAATCTTCGTAAATATACATTTTAGACCCCACAAAGTGAATATTTTCTTGATCAGCATAAAATTCTATGTCGATTTAGCGATGTCCATCCGTCTGTGGAAATCACTCTAGCTTCCGAACGAAATGAAGTAGATTGAGAAAATTTACTTGAATGTATGTTATGTCTGCAGGACTTTTGGTATTGTAAATGGGCCATGTAGGTCCACGTTTTGGTAGAGCCCAAAACCGGGTCTTTCCACCATGAAAAATATGCCCATAATCAGGTTAAAAATATCTCAAGATGTTTTTTAGCTATTATCTTTTTGATAGCACCGGTTGTTAAACTCATGCAGGTTTCGTGTTTTGTTTCACTGTCATACATCTTGAGAATGAACAAAATTGTTGAGTTTGAAGTGAAGATCTATCAGAAGCATTGCAAAAGCTACCAACGTTTGCTGGGGCGACCGCGTAGATCGTGCGATTTAACGCCATTAGACTATTTTTTGTGAGGCTATGTTAAAGCCGATGTCAATACAGACTAGCCTGCTTCAATTGACGCGCTGGAAGGCAACATTGAAGCATTTATTGGTGAGATGTCGGGCTTTTGGAGGCGCATACGAAATTAAAAAACAAATATCCCTGATCTGATTTGGGAATCTCAAAAGTTGGGCTACAAAAATATGGATCTTCCTGTATTTCTACGGAAGAACCGATAAGAGGCAACCCACCAATGTCCTTTTGTTGAATTTGTTTTTTCATAAGCTTTCATATGATACCCATAATGATATATTGGATCGCTGGAACCGATTTTATTATCCGAATCCCATAATCTGCTTAAAAATAGATATATAAAAATTGAAAGCCAATCCGAGCATAACCCCTTAATTCCAAACAAGCATAGGGTGGAGGTGCGCTATATCTAGCCGATGTGGCCATTTTCAATAACAACAAGTTCAGTCGGGCCGAGGGTATAAGCTCCACCATTTGAAAAGTACTTCAAAAATTTTAAAAAAAATCCTAGAAAATTACCGGCTAAATGAAAACCGTTATTTGGGGAGGATACAAAGAAGAGGACATGCATAGACAATATTCAGTCATAGGCTGAAGTAACCATTAGGAACTTCCAATGCGAGATTTTAAACAGTTCCGGTCAATTATGCTGCTCAAGTCATGAAAATACCATTATGAACTTCCAATACGAGATTTTCAACAGATCCGTTGAATTATGCCGCCAAAATCATAAAAATGCCGAATATTGGGTGGTTCTGTTATATAGGGGCTATACGAAGACGTAGATCTGCATAGGCGATTTTTTGTCATAGGCTGTAGTACCCATTACGAACCTTGAAAACGAAATTTGATTCCAGTTTATAAAGTCTCTAATACCATAAAAATACCAACCAGCTTAGGCAATTTTCTGTCGTAGATTGAACTACAGATGTAAACAAAACTACAAAAATAACGAACTACAAATATGAAATTTGAAACAATTCCGATTGATAATGTTCTTAAATTCGTCAAAATACCGAATGTTAGGAGGTAAAGTTACATGGGGCCCATACGAAGACCTGGACCTGTATGAACCATTTTCTGCCATAGATTAACCTACTACAAATACGAATTTTGAAACAATTCCGGTCTATAATATCTCTAAAATCATAAAAATACCGAATATTGGGTGGTACTGTTATATAGGGGCTATACAAAGACGTGGACCTGCATAATTAATAACATAGGTTGTAGTACCCATTAAGATCGTCAAATATGAAATTTGAAACAATTCCGGTAAAAATGTCGCTACAATCATCGAAATACCGAATATTGAGAGGTACCGTTATATGGGAGCTATACGAAAACCGGGACCGACATGGCCGATTTACGAACTTAACCTGGCTACTGGCATAATAAACATGTGTGCAAAATTTTAGCCTTCTATCTCAAATCATTCGAAATATAACGTGATTACAACAGACAGACAGATGGACATAGCTAAATCGACTTTGAATTTTACGCTGATCAAATATATATATACTTTGTTGGTTCCGACATGAGTATTCCGATGAGTTACAAAAGGAATGTTAAGAAATGTTAATAAGTTAATACGCCCTCCATTGGATGGTGGAGGGTATAAAAATCTTAGGAGTATCTAAACACCCATGCCAAATGCATTCTTCCTTCATCTTGAATATCATAGCCTCTATTTTGATTTCAATTGGCCTCTATTTTGATTTCAACAGACGTGGGGGCATCGTTAAATTGGCTTAAAATTTTGGTGATCACCATTATATACGTACATATATCTTATGAGGTCTTTTGCGGAAGGGTTTTTGGAATGATATTCTTAATATACCCTCCATTACTCTGTGTCGTGAAGGGTATCAAAACAATTTCAATTTGTTTCAATAGAATTGTTGCTGAATTCCTTATGTTTGCGATTTTAGTTTTCTATGATGATCATCACGTCACACACATACTCGTATGTATGTAAACAATCACACACATACACCTATAAAAATATATATTAAACATCTGCTTTTGGGACTTACCTGCCGGGAAGAAATTGTTTAAGAACGTTGACATTTTTCAAGTAGCACTTGTTTTGTTTTATTATTATTTCGTCGTTTTGTCTTTTGGCGAATCTTCTTCTTGTTCTTGTTGTTCTCGTCGTCGTCGTCGTCTTCGTTTTCTTGTTGCTGTTGTTTTTTTGTATTAATATATACTAGGTAGGTATTTTGTTTTTCTTTTCTTTATATTCCTGTTTTTTGCTACATTCGTTTCGGTTTTGGTTTCTTTTCTTTGCTTTTCTTTTATTATCTGTCTGCACACAAGTAGTGGTTGTGGAGGGGGTGAGGGGGGAAAGAACGGCGGGGAGAGTTCACAGTCTTTGCCGGTTGGTTTACTTGATGTTCGTTAGTTCGTTCGTTCGCTGCCTGCCTGCCCAGAGAAGAGGTTTGAGTGGATGTGTTGTGTGTTTGATTTGATTTGTTTCGTTTTTTTTTTTTCTTTTCTTTATTTCTTTCTCTTTTGTTTGTTGTTTTTGCGTTTTGTTTTGAGGTTTCTTTAGAAAACTGTTGCAATTGCTGCAGATGTTATTATTGCTGATGTTGGCCGGCCGCCGTTGATGATGCTGCCGATGGCAAGACAGATGATGATAATGGGGATAATAATGATGGGTGCTGCTGGTGGCCAAGTGAAGTGCATTTAGTTGCCGCGTTTGTTGCGCTTTGTTTATGTTTGATGGCTGGCTAGGCTGGGCTGGATGGATGGCTGCTGGCTGTTTAATTTCTTTACGGTCCGTTGATTCCGAGCTACTTGCGATGGTTGCTGATGCTGCTGCTAGTGGTGGTGGTGGTGATGGTACTGCGGCTTTGTTATTGTCGAGTATTAAAACGTGCAAATCGCATGGAAAACTCTGCACATCATCAGGCCGAGGAGGCTCTTGTTACTGTTTGTTGTCGGCTAAAGTGAGTGTGACTGGTGGCTGGTTGATGCACTGCACTAGTCGTCGAATCCATCAACAACAATAACAACTCATCTTAATATCGGAAAACGATAACACCCGACGACTCTGACACTACAAAAGTGATTGGTGTGTACTCATTAAGCAGAGGAGTTGGCAAAGGTGTCTCGGAGGGATTGGAAGAGGTTTGCCAACTGATAGCTGATATGGCAATAATCGCAGCAATGGTTTCTTACTTTTATTGCACCCGATTATGATGATGAAGATGGCGGCGATGTTGCTGTCAACACTGCTGGCTGTCTGTCTTTATGGTTGGGGGGTTTGCTCTACTATCTCTCTTCTGATGGTTAGATTGTTGTGCCTTCACTTATTCACACTCACACAAAAGACATGTCAAATCAAAGTGTACTCCGACGTTGACTTCTGTTAACCAACCACATCAACAACAACAAAAGGGGGGGGCATGTCACTGTTATTGTTGTTTTGTTTATATTCAATTCTTGTTCTCCTTTCGCTCTCTCTCTCTCGCTCTCGACAAAATGTTTGGATGGTTGGATTTGGATTTGAAGAACAATAACAATTGGAGCCACCACACAAGAAAAGCAAAACGAAAGGCAGTAGCAAAAAGAGAGGTAGGACGGGAGAGTAAAGGGAAAATCTATATGTATTGTGTGGAGTATGGAGGAAAACAAAAACAAAAAAAGAAAGTTATATAGAGGTCGAAACAGATGTTTGCTCTGCTCTGCTGTGTTGGGGGCAATTTCCCTGTGTGGTTGTTGCTGCTGCTGCTGTTGTTTTACTTTTGTTTGTCAATACTTTTGGTTCGTCACATTTACGGCTACATTGATGCTGCTGACGTTGTTTGGCAATGTCGTGACACAAACACACAGTTATGAACGAACGTTGTAGAAAGAAGGGAATTCCCAAGGAGTATAAAAACAAAACTGGTTCTCAGTTCTCTTCTTGAAATCTCTGAGGCAAATCACTTTTTTCACATAATTACCTATCTCTCAAAAACATTCTCTTTTTTTACCCATTTATCACAACACTTAACAACACTATTGTGTAGATGGCGCTCTAGTACACAGGAAAATATATTTTTTTGTGGGGGAGGAATTATTTGGTTTTAATTGTTAGGTTTTGTTTCTAAGTTTTGTAACACTCATTTTATTCTTTTGTTAATTTTGTTTTTTTTTTGTTTTCTTATTTTTTGTTTGGTTTTTGGTTAATGGAAATTCGTTTCGGTGATTGTTTTCAGCTGCAATTGGTCAGATGGTGGAAGATGTAAACATAGAGCTGCAAAGAAAAAGGATAAATTGTTGTGTTAAAAGGTGTTGGATACAGTGTTTTTTTATAGATTTTTGTTAAGGTTTTTAATAATATATATAATACATTAGGCTATAGTCGTGCGGGGCCGGCCATGTGATACCCCACAACACTACAATATGTTAGAAGCTCATGCCCAAATCCATTTTGGAAGATTTCGCTTTTGAAATTATGTCACGGAGCACTGCCCAGATATTACCCTTAGCATTTTGACCAGGGACATTTTCCCAATATTTATGCACTCCGTCGTGCTGTTAGTTTTTGTAGTCCATTTTACGGCTAAATATATTCCAATGGTCATCCAAAATGCCAGAATTCTTCTCTGTGCTTACCTATCTTCTCAGGCGTGTCGATTGGCTTCAATTGTATGATCAGGAAATTTTTTTCTGTTTTTGGTTCATTTAAACCCCTAAATATTTTGCAATCATATCCAAAAGCAAGAGCCCCCCCCCCCCCCCCCCCCCCTCTGTGTCTCCAAATTTAGACTCATCTATATGATTTGTTTGTCTACGATATTTGGCTATATTCGTCAACGAAATCAGCATAAAAAAGCCAGAAGTTCGCCTATTGTGTATCGCCTGTAAGTAATGTTGGTATTTTTTTACACAAAAGTAGTGGTCCATTCTACCCGCTGTCCTAAGCTCTAACTTCATGCGAGATTTCGTGTCCTTAGGTTTATATTTGGGACCTTTATAACGGCTGCAAATTCAGGAACATTTTGAGTTGCTGGTCCATTTCAACCCCTAAATATATTGCGGACATCTTTGAAAACAATAGGCTAAGCCCTTCTGAGCCTAACCCTACCTTTGTGAAAAATTTCGTGAGGATCGAACCTGTGTTGTAAAGTGAAAAAATTTTACAAAACAAATACTTCAATAGTATAAGTTAATTTGAAAAAATCGCATGCGATAAAAAATATGAAAAAATTAAAAAAAAATCTCAAAATACTACAAAGTCTATTTGAACATCATTATTGGTATTTATACTTTAATGCCACAGGGGAATTCTAAATTGACAAAATTTGTCAAAATCGCTCCAGCCATTCTGAAGATATAAACATTCTAGCTGACATCCCCTTCCTTTGTATATATATACATTGTACATTGTATATATATATATACATTTGTATATATATACATTGTATATATTTCTCTATATATATCCGATATTTTTACTATCGGCATCTTCGTCTATTTGTGATTTCGCCGGCAGTAAAAATATTCGCGGATTAATGGAAAAATTGACTTTTATTTATCGCAAATGCTATGGTCTACTAAACCACTAAATATTACCCGATGACAAAATTGGAAGGTTTTTCCCCAGTCCAAAGCTCTAGCCCCATGCTAAATTTCGCTTCGATTGGTCTATAATTGTGACCTGTAGAGTAACTGCAAAATCAGGAAATCAGGAAATTTTTCAGTTTTTAGTCAATTTCAACCCCTAAATATTATACGATCATCTCCAAAAGAAATAAGGTTCTATTCTGACCCCAGCTACATTCTAAATTTCGTAAAGATCGGGCCATAATTGCGACCTGTAGAGTGATTACAAATTAACATGGACAGTCGGACGGACGGACATACATAGCTAGATCGACTCAGCTCGGCGAGATAGGAAGATCCATATATGCTTTCCTATGTGGGAAACCAATATTTCGAGGTGTTACATAATTTTTGGCCCAATCAAAGTTATAATACCCCCAACACATATCGTTGTAGGGTATAAAAACCTGAAGAATAATGACTTTAATGTATTTAGTACATTGAATTCTTGTATTATGTTACTTTTTCATATATATATATAATATATATATAAAAAAAACTTGAAGTAAAATAACATAAAATTTTTATTTTCTCTAATGTATTTAATACATTGAATGCAATAAAACTTGAGTACCTTTTTTATGTATAGTGTAAAATTTTCAATAAAATTTACTTGAATACAAACTACATATTAATTATTCAACTTTTTACAGTTTGGGCGGATATAGTCGATTTTGGGCGGTTTTTAGAAAAAAATTGGGCTGAAATAAAAATTTCAAACGGCAACACTGGTTGGATATGAAAGGAAGAGAGAGAGAGAGAGAGAGAGAGATTAACAATACGGACTAGGGTTGCCATAACTAAATAAAATAAGTGAACATTTTGAAACAGTGAATAAAGACTTAGACTACACAAAATGAATTTTGAGCAAAAGGTTTGTGTCTTCAATAGATAGTGTAACAACTCATGACAATTACAGAAACGAATGATAAATTAAAGTTTGAAAAATCCAAAAACTGTGGTTTCAAAATTCTATTCCACTGACCCTTCCGAAAATTTGAATATTTCCTTGGCGGTATAAATCAGTTAACATTGACAAGTATGTTGTTATAATATCATAGCAACACAGGTATTTTTACAGGGTTGCCATATTTTGACTCTGTCTTGTCCTATCTTTATACTTCAATGTTTTTGCAGTGAATCAAATTGAAATACACATAGAACTGATAAAACCAATTACAACTTCTATAGAAGGGACAAAAGTCAGTCTAGGCGGACTCTATGAGACCCTACACCACTATGCATATTTAGTAAAGCTATCTGTAACAAATAACACTTAATATTGCAACTTTTGGGAGTTAAGCTCTCATGATTGCATATTACGGCTTTTGCACCGTTAAAAATTGAAATCAAATGGAATTAGCATATGGAAGTTATATAAAATTCCACTAAATTTTATAGCTGTATTTCTATAGTGTGTGTGACCTCTCTTACAAAATATGATTGCATTAGGGTGTATGCCGTGACTTAGAGAAGGCTTAAATTTATATCGGATGAAGAGATGAAAAAAGAGCAACCAACTTCAGACTACTGTCATTTCTAAGCCACTCGTCCGACAGCTGTTAAAATTATTCCAGTGATAGCTCATTATATTGTTTACAAGCGTACAAAAGCATTTTGGTGAGAATTTTCCAGAAAAAAGTAATTCGTAATGGAATTTAAGCCTGATAGTGTGATTTCTTTATATTTGGCTGAAAAACCACAAATGGCTATCGTTAGACCATTTAAATGTGAACATATCTTTTGTGTCTCGTACCATCGCTCGTTACCGTGATACTGGTAGCGTAGCCCGACGTCAATGAAGTGAACGGAAGAAAACAGCAACATCAGCAGGAATGGTTCGAAAAGTAAAGAAGCGACTTTATCGAAACCCGCGTCGCATTGGCCGAAAAATGGCTCGTGAACTGAACATATCGCAATATTCCATTCGGCAAATATTGAAAAATGAGCTCGGGGTAAAGCCATTGAAATTCCAAAAAGTGCAAGAACTTACACCGCAACAGAAAGAAAATGGACTCAAAAGAGCTAAAGAGTACTTCGCTTGGCTGAAAGTTATGAACTGCCGAATTTGGTTTTCTCCGCTCCGATGAGAAAACATTCGTTGTTCAGCAGTTTGTAAACAAACAAAATGTTCGTGTTTACTTGCCAAAGAGGTCAGCTGAAAATGTACACCTTCGGTTGGCCACCAGAACTCAAGCGCCAGCCATGATGGTGTGGGCCGCCATAACAAGCGAAGGTCGCTCTCCGCTCGTATTAATCGACCGTGTCATCATAATAAATTCCGAATATTATTATTGGGCACGCAATTTTTTGGCCGCAGACCAAGGACATTCCAACAGGACTCAGCAACATTGTACTCAGTACGCGCCACCCAAGAATGGTAACAAAATGAGGTTCCTCGCTTCATTTCCAGCGCGCAATGGCTACCAAAATCGCCGGATATCAATCCGTTGGACTATTGTGTCTGGAGTATTTTGGAAAGCAAGGTTGGCACTAAAAGTACCAAAGTGTCGACCACCTCAAGCAAGCTCTTCGCCGGGAATGGGCTTAAATACCGCAGAACAACATTCAGGCAGCGTGTGACGGTTTCATTGGCCGTTTGAAGGCCATAATCCGTGCCAAAGGTGAGCAATTCGAACAAATCTAAACTTATTTTAAAATTTGATGCAATTTTCGACATTTTTTGCTTTCATTCAATAACATTAAAAAAAAAAAAAGTAAAAATTAATGGTGTTTGACTTTGTTTCAGGTTTTTTATCTCATCCTGCATATGACGGCTATATCAAACCTTGGACCGATATATCTCATTTTCAATAACAACCATCCTAGACACAATACATATTGTTCTGCCAAATTTGAAGCTCTATGTCAAAAATTGTGGGCTGTATCGAGGTACGAAAAGGAGTGGTCCGATAAATTCCATATTTACATCAGATATGTGGTTGAGAGAAATATTTAGACAAATCAAGTTTGAAGAAAATAGCGGACTTGTTTCACATGTTCTGAGAGATGCAATCTTTCAAAATTGTTAGCATTTGTGGTGAAGGTACCAGGAGGAATGGACTGATATATCCCATCTTCTCAACAGATCTTGTGTTGATAGAAATATTGTGATGTGTGAAATTAGAAGGCAATCGGATGTTCATTTCATATTTTATGAGAGATATAATTATTCAAAAAATATTGACCCTTTGTGGGGGAGGTACCAGAAGGAGTGGGCCGTTATCTACTATCTTCATGAGAGATTATCCGTTGATAAAAATATTGGGATGTGTCGAGTTTGATAGGAATCGGATGCTCATTTTGCGTTTTACGAGCTCAATGCTTATTTAACATTTTGACACGTTGGGGAGGCACCATAAGAAGCAAACCGATCTTCACGCCAGAAATTGTCTTAAGAATATTGTTGGGTGAAATTTGAAGATAATCGGACTCTAATTTCACATTTTATAAGAGTTATAATTATTCAAAATTTTGACCCTTTGTAGGGGGGCACTTGATGATGTGGACCGATATTGTGCATTTTCGCACCTGAGGTAGCACTGATGCAAATTTTATGATTTGCAAAGTTGGAGAAAAAACTGATTATCATTTCTCTTTCTGTGCAGTAAAATATTTTTTTTGAAAATGTTGACATTTTGTGGGGGAGGTACCAGAAGAAGTTGACCGAGATTGTCCATCTCCGAACTCGATCTAAGTTTGATAATAATATGACGATGTACCAAGTTTGTACCAAATCGGATACTCCCTTCGAGAGTTATCGTGCACACCAGCCAGCCAGACAGACAGACGGACGTACGGACACCCCTGTGTTATTAAAAGAGAGACCTAAGGTCTAAAACTGTTATTTCAATGAGCCACATTTTGACCGTATCAAATGATAAATACCATCTCTAGCCACATGGCTGAGGGTATAAAAATCAGGTATGACGAATTTGATTGACTTCCTTGCTTTCGCCATCAACTTTGAAATCTTCATCTCTCAAAAAATTTGTCCTACTAAATTTGCTCCACTACTTTCCCTGATGTTTGAAGATGGCAACTCTAGTAATGTTAAGCAGGACATGTAAGAAACATAACACATAAAACATGTTTGCCAAATAGGACACTGGGGTATAACGGAGAACGAAGAGATGAGACTGAGTAACAAAGGAGACACGGAGAGTAAGAGATACACAAATTATTTCTCTCTGGCAATCTCCCAACTTGTTGTGATAGACATAACATATTGTTGTCATGTTGGTGTTGTTGTTGTGGTTGATTCTATGCAAAATGTTTCCTTGGTATGTTGGAATCATTGTTGGTGTTGTTGTTGTAGCAGACTGACAGACTGACTGAGACCGCCAGTCTATCACAACAAAAACTCGGTTGGATATTTAATAAGGATATACAAATATCTGTCTGTATGTATGTATCACGGTATGTATTAAGGACTAGGAAATTGATGCATGTATTTGTGTGTGTGTATCCATGCATGTATGTTCATGTGTTTGTGTTCACTTGGCATATGTAAATATCCGTCTGACATTTACAAGTAAACGAAGTAAAATAGAAGTAACTTTTCTGCTGTAGATAGATAGGTTACGTATTTTACATATACCTTGTAATTGACTTTACATACATTTTTTATTATTTGATTTTAAATGTAATTGATGTTGTGGTTGTTGTTGCCTTAGTTCTTGTTGATGTTGATGTTCAATTTCGATGGGTACACTATTTGTTTAAATACGACGACTTTATTTACGAGTTATTTGGTTTGTCATTTGTTTAAAACTTTTTCGTGATTTTTTTGTTACTTATTTGCAATGCGTTTTATGTTGCTGGGACGAAGGATTATTTTTTCTTTTACATTTTTTTTTTTTGTTTTTTACTTTTTTGATTTTAATCTTTTATTTAAAAAAGTTTAAAAAAATATGCACACATAATGCTGCTGGATAACAAAAAAAGGAGAATTTACAAAAAAATCATTATTGGAATTATCAGGAAATTTCAATTCTTTTTTTATATATATATATATATTTTTTTGTTATTGCTTTTCACATAAACCACAAACCATTCTTCGTGGTCTTGAAATAAATGCAAAATATGTTTTGTTTTATTTTTACTGCTGCTATTATTATATTGTTGATGTTGTTGTTGTTATTAAAATATTTCAAAACATTTCCTTCAACATGCACATATACAAAATTACAAACATCACTTAATTACATTTGGTCCGTCGGGTCGAATCGGTCATATGCCCATAACGCGCTTGTCGGAGATATGCATTTGTTTCACCGCCACCAACATTCTCCTGTAAGGTATCGAATGAAACTGAAAAAGAGTTCCTTTGACTTGTGCGTCCAATGAGATTGTTGTGTGTTGAGCTCACTCAACTGGCTGGCTGGCTCTCTATGAAACTTCTTCATCAAAACAGAAGAGAAAAAACAGAAATCAAAATAAAAATTGCAAATAAAATCAAAGCCGAAAGAACATAGGTTAGGGATGGAAAAGCGAGTTACTGCGAGAATGAAAAAGCGAGAAATTTTCAATTTAACCGTGAGAGCTTCTATTTTCAATGGAGAACCGTAGGGTCTTCTGCCTTCAACAGGGGACCGTGAGACCATTTATTTTATATAGAGGGCGGAGATGTGTTTTATTTTCAATAGAGGACCGTGAAGTCTCCCATTTTCAATAGAGACCGTGAGTTCTTATATTTTTCAATAGAGGACCGTGAGGTCTTCCATTGTCAATAGAGGTCGTCTATTTTAAAAAGAGAAGGAAAAGGAGGTGTTCCTTCCTCAATAGAGGAGAGTAGGGTCTTCTATCTTCGATAAAGGACCGTGGAGTCTTCTGTCTTCAATAGAGGACCGTGAGGCCTTTTATTTTAAATAGAGGACCGATATGTCTTTTATTTTCAATAGAGGACCATTTGGACTCAAGGGTTATTTGTAATAGAGGAACATCTGGGGTCTTCTATTGTAAAAAGAGGACCCTGAGGCCTTCTATTGTCAATAGAGAACCCTTAGGTCTTCTATTGTCAATAGAGAATCCTTAGGGCTTCTATTGTCAATAGAGGACCGCGAATTCTTCAAAATAGCAATAGAGGATCGTGAGATCTTCTATTTTCAAAGGAGGAAAGTGATGTATTCTATCCTAAATAGAGGACTGTGGGCTCTTCTATCTTCCATAGAGGATCGTGAGGTCTTCTAACTTCAATAGAGGACCGTGAGGTCTTCCATTTTCAATAGAGGACCATTTGGACCCTGAAGTCTTCTATTCCCAATAGAGGAGCCTGAGGACTTCTGTTATTAATAGAATACCCTGGGGTCTTCCGTTGTTAATAGAGGAATCTGAGGTCTTCTATTCCCAAAAGAGGAAAGTGAGTAGGGACATCTATTTTCAATAGAGAACGTATTGTGTTCTATCTTCAATAAACGACCGTGGCATTTTTTATCTTCAATAGATGACCGTGAGGCCTTTTATTTTCATTTTTTTTATAAATAGAGGATCGCGAGGTCTTCTATTTTTAATAGAGGACGGTGGGATCTTATATTTTCAATAGAAGACCATTTGGACCCTGAGGTCTTCTATTGATTAGGACGAAAAGGAAAAGCTCCGAGGAAACTCAAGATCAACCCAGCTTTCAGAGATAGATAGCAACTCAGACTCGGACTCCGAAGCTAATGCAAAGAAAAAAGTTGTTGAAATCTCCACCAAAGCGGAGGTTGACAAAATGGTAGACGTAGTGATCCAAATCATTGCGAAGGTTGCCACGAACAAAAATAAATTATACGGGGCGCAAAAGCGTAAACTCAGGATAATTACGAGGATGACTGAGTCTTCAAGGCAGCAAGATTTCCAAAAGACCCAGAGCCCTCACTCCACTTCTTCGGAAGCAGTAAAAAGGTCAGATCCCTCAGGGGACCAGAACGTAGCAAAGCCTTTTTCGAAGAAGAAAAAAAACTTTCCGCCAGTCAGTGCTGCGGGAAAACCTGGTACCTGAAAAGTTGACAATAAGGAGCCAAAGACAAGGAAATCCACAGCAAGTCGCTGAAAGGAGACTCAGCAAAAGCAGAAGGCAAGAACTCTCCCTCCACTTCTCCGGAAGCAGAAAAGGGGATCAGATCTGCAGAGGAGCAGAACGCCACGAAGACTACTTCAAAAAAGCTCAGGACAATAAGAAGGAAGATTGAGAGTTTAAGGCAGATTCAGAACCCTCCCTCCACTTTTTCGGATGCAGAAAAGAGGACCGGATCCCCTTTTCGAAAACGAAGAAGGCATTTGCCTCAGTCAGTTTTGCGGGCAAGCCTGGTCAGTTACCTATAGATGGTAACGCCAAGGAGCCAAAGGCAGGAAATGAAAGAGAAAGCAGCTAACTACATAAAGACCACCTGAGGACTGTAAAAGACCACATCAACAAGAATATATTGGAACACTTCTGGCAAGACAGGGATCTAATAAACTTCGTGAACTGCGAAATAAAAGTGCGAAACAGAACACAAACTCGAAGTCCTTCCCCTTCAAAACAATACTTTGGACGTTAAAAGTCCAGTCCGACCAAGAAGAAGGGTGTGGCGTTCTATGTCCTTTTTAAAGAGGAGAAGACCAGGAATAGAATGATAAGATGCCGACTTCACAACGTAATTATAAGGGGCAAAATTATTCATATATTACATTTCCCATCTCTGGCAATGACACTTGTCCAGCTATGCTCTCTTACTCACACTCTTATTCTCGAATTAAAAGGAATACACTGCAAATTATATTGGGGAGGATCAGGATGTAAAACATAAATGCAATTTATGCTATGTCTGGTGTAGATATTGTTTTTGTTTATTTATTTATTTTTTTTTTGTAAATATAGGTATAGACTATTGCACAGTGTGGTGAATGTAACATCTTTTTAAATGATAAAGGAGTTCAATCAGAAAGTATTGGGTCAGAAACTTATATCAAATACCAGAAATGGTTGGTAGAATTTAGGACGGAAGAAAACAGCACATATCGCAATATTCTATTCGGCAAATACTGGAAAATGAGCTCGGGATAAAGTCATTGAAATTCCAAAAAGTACAAGAACTTACACCGCAAAAATAAAGAAAATAGACTCAAAACAGCTAAAGAGTTGCTTCGCTTGGCTAAAAGTGGTGAACTGCCGAATTTGGTTTTCTCCGATGAGAAAACATTAGTTTTTCAGCTATTTGTAACCAAACAAAATAATCCTGTTTACTTGCCAAAGAGATCAGCCTAAAATCTGTATCTTCGGTTGGCCACCAGAACTCAAGCGCCGGCTATGGTGATGGTGTGGGCCGCTGAACTTGGACATTCCAACAGGACTCAGCACCTTCGCACTCAGCGCGCCACCCAAGAATGGTTACAAAATGAGGTTCCTCGCTTCATTTCCAGCGCACAATGGCCACCAAAGTCTCCGGATACCAATCCGTTAGACTATTGTGTCTGGAGTATTTTGGAATACCAAAGTGTCGATCACCTCAAGCAAACGCTTCGCCGGGAATGGGCCAAAATACCGCAGAGCACCATTCGGGCAGCGTATGATGGTTTCATTGACCGTTTGAAGGCCATAATTCGTGCCAAAGGTGACCAATTCGAACAAATCTAAACATATTCTAAAATTTGATGCTATTTTCGACATTTTTGCTTTCCTTCAATAAAATTTGAAAAAAAAAAAAAATTAAAATTATGGCGTTTGACTGTGTTGCAGTTTTTTTATCTCACCCTGTATATTGTACATATCTGAACTTGATCTAAGTTTGATAATAATATTATGATGTACCAAGTTTGGACCAAATCGGATACTCCCTTCGAGAGTTATCAGGCGCACCAGACAGCAGACAGACAGACAGAAGGAAGGATATCGCTAGATCGACTCCAAATGTCCTTAAACCGTTATTTCGATGAGGCACGTTTTGGCCGTATCAAATGATATATAGCCTCTGTTGCCATTATGACTGAGGGTATAACGAGAAGGATTGACTGAAGTAGACCTTGTAAACTACTCGTTCATGCTTTCTGCCATGGTTATTTCTACACATCTAGTAAATCCAATTTCCGATGAACCCATTTTTGCATTATTTTCCCAATTTATATGCCCTAAAGTTCCCACTGTGCGAAAAGACAAGACACGACAAAATTACAGAGAAATCATCAACAAAGATGTTTAGAAGAAGAATAACAAAACCCAGGGAGTGAAATTCGAAAACAAAATACAATAACCTCCTACGTCACTGGCACTTATTTAGAAATATTGCGAAAAACAGAGCAAAACAATAGCTGGAAATCTCCATGGGAGTCATTACTTGACAACTGAACTAAAGTCGATGGGAAACTACTCTGGGTATTAGGGAAATATCAACAGAAAATGAGAGACGGACAGGCAGAGAGAGAGAGCGAGAGAGTTGTCATTGAATCCCATGCACAACTCAAACACAATGAAGGGGCCTGACAGTGTCAGGAATGCTTAAAAGAAGTCGGTGGTAATGATGATGGCACAACATAAACGGCCAGAGGGAATAACAAAACAAAGTGGTAGGAAGACAGGGAAAAGGGGGAGAGGAATTTGCAAAAAAGAAAGAAACACCATAAAGAGAAAAACAAAAATACATGTCTACAATGGGTACATTTCAAAGGTAGGGACAACAGTGGCCGAACACCGCCACATTTGGTTTGGTGTTCCAGAGAATTGTTTGATTTCCATAGACATAGACAGACCATCATCAGCAGCCCATGGGAAGATATTCAACAGACAACATAGGGGCTGGAAAGGCAAGTGAATGGGTTGTGTGTGTGAGTTAGAAGAAAAAAAGAACGAGCAAAGCAATAAAAAATAATTGAAGCGGAATTCCGTTTCACATTCATCCATTTGGCTGAGTTGCCTACATCCATCGTCCGTGGCTAGGGTAAATTATCATTTTCTGGAACAGGAATGAA